TTACAGTTTCAACTGGGAAACTCTCAGCATCTTAGACCAAGCTAAATCCAAAAATGTGAGGGAATTCCTGGAAGCTTGTTATTCAGACAAGACAGCCACCAACAGGCACATAAACAACATCTACACACTATTCAAAAGAGAGAATAAAAAGGAAACAAAAGACTAGAACATCTCCTCACCAGCAATCGTCACCCAGATAAGCAGAGATTAACACCAAGATTGTCACCAGACATACAATCAAGCAGTAAACAATACCCTAATCAAGGAACTACCAGGAAGGGAAAAAAAAACACCCCCACCAACACTGACAGGGCAAGCCACTTTATATAAAGAGAGCAAACCCCACTCCATTCTAGCACTGAAGATGTTACCTAGCCGGGTAACGAAATGTTTGCAAGAAAACAACCAAGTGCAGAGAACCCCAAGGACTCCACAGTTCAGCTCTGAGCTACATATATTCTCTTATATTGAATTTCTTATGAATCATAAGTACTGTTCTTAATTGATAAAATAGAGACTTCTTAGAGGAAGGTGAGATATAAGAGGATATATTTATAATAGATTGTTACACAGAAGTTGGTTGGTAATGAAATTGGATGGAATAATGAGGCTAATGTTTCTGGTGCAGTGCTCTTTGATAAGTATGGTCTCTATTCTCATCTACCATTTAAGGAATAAAGAAAGGATTTTATTGATAAAACAATAATTAATGTCTAACAAAACAAAATTAATGTCTAACAAAACAAAAATTAATGTCTAAAAAAATAATAGCTGCACTAAAGCCTATGCTAGGCATTCAGTAAGATCCATTCATAGCTTATGTAAAAAGCAGAAAAATCTGGTTTGCTAGTATGCCATCTAAAGGAAGAGCAACAGGAAATACACGGCTGTCATGAAAACGAAGGAGCTTCATTTGAATGATCACTCAGATGTTTTCCTTACACAGTTTTAAAAAGTGTGAAGAGGACATAAACTTGTTATTAAAAGTTTTATAGCCTTTGGGCCCCCAGCATAGAGTTTACTGCATCAGCGTGCCTGCCGAACAGTTTACCTTGGTACTTGTCAGGCTCCATGTCCTACTTGATTAACAAGAAAAATTAAATGGCAAACTAGCATACTGCAGAGGAAAGCTCTTATCTTCAAACATTTATTTCCAAGAATGCTTGGTTTTCCTGCACATTGCAGAGGGTTGGACTGGATAATATTATGGTCTGCACTTCTTATTTCACATAACTTAGAGGCATTTTTAGAAAATTAAAATCATAGTGGACTACAGCACAATGCTTTTCAGTTGTTTCCAACAAGTGAAGCTGGGATAGTCATATACAGTTGGACTGAAAGGAACAATTTATTAGAATGTATTGCATAGACTGTGGTATGACACAGCCTCCAGACGTACAATTGTTCCATGAACAAGCAAACAAAAACATTTTTGTTTAAAGTGATAGAGAAGACTCAATTGAATGATTAACTTTTCCATCTTCTCTTCTCTTCCACACAATAGTGAGCAAGAGGAGAGTCTCTGTATCTGACTCAGCCTGAGCAATGTAAGGAGGGCAATGGAATCCAAGCCTCAATAGCCTGTAAATTCCACTTTCCCTTTACAGTGTCATGGCTGGTTGGCATAAGCTATACCTTTTTTCCCCACTCTTTTTTCCAGTAACTAGGTTCCAAAACCTAGTAGACATTACAGTGTTCTTGTCAGAGTTCTTTGGAGTTAGAGAGCAGAAGAATATTGCAAGATTTGTATCCCATCCCTCAGAAGGGAAGGGGCACAAATCAAGAGAACACCACCAGGCTCGCAATCAGGGCCTACGAATTCAAACAATCAGTGTAACCTTCTGGTTCTCAGAATAATCTCTTTGGACTTTGCTCCTTGAAAGCCTGACATATCTTATGTCATAGTGATTATGTCAATAAATAAAGCAGAAAAACCAAACCTTTGCTCAAGGAGGTAGGGAATCTATTCACCTGCGCTCAGAAGCATTTCTTTTCTATCAGGGCTAACACCTTAAAATGGTCTCTGGGTGCACAAATAGAATGGCTGAGCTGACACCAGATTGGTGAAGAGGCCTTGGTTCTAGCAAATCTCTCAATTGCTGAGCCACAGCAATTATTCCTCATTGGACTGAGATGTGGATGATTGCCTTCCCATTGGAAATGAGGCTTTAACAGGAGATAGAGGGGAAGATATGGACAATACTAAGAGCAACTTTAAAGGAGACTTGGATTTGGTTGCCAAGAACTGTCTTTTAACAGCTCAAACAGATGTTGCTATATTTGATCAGCTCTTGGAAGCCAATAAAAAGACGAACTAAAGACTAATGGGAAATTATATCTCCAAATTAGATAAGAAAGTAAATAGTAATTCCCATGCTTCAAAACTTACCCCTAATCCATGGACAGCACGGGTGGCATGGGGGTTCTCAGATGGAGTAGACATGGAGAAGAGGCTAGTTTTGCAGAGACATAGGATTCTACTTCAAGTTGCTGATACATCTTTGAATAGAGGCAGGTGGCATAATAGACAAGTAATATTGAACTCTCTTTCTCAACTTCTACACTGCAGGGTATACTCTAATGAACTAACAGAGATCTCTTGGCTCTCTAGTAGGCACGGATGTAAAAGAATATTGTTAACTTTTGGACAGATTATTTTTCCATCGATGCTTTTTATGCTTGAAAATTCTTTAAGGAAATATATCTGGCCAATATGTGTGTTTTATAACACCTAAACTCAGATGCTGCTAAAGTCTGGGCAGAGTGCCAAGTCAGTGGGGGAGGATGACATGAACCTTGAGAATTCTAACTGTAACTGTTCATTATCTGCAAAGCAAAGAACTCCTCTATTAACAAGGACAGAACAAGATAAGGATAATGGCAAAGAAATCCCAGATTTACTTAATGGAAAAATACAGTTTTTGGATGATGAAGAAGAATTAATCCATCTGTTTGCCACCCTTCCCCCAGGGGAACAACAACTGATTTTAAGGAAAATCGAAATAGTAAGATCAATGCTGAAATCAGTAACTAACGTGACAGAAACTCTTAACATCCTACTCCCTTCTAGCTGCTCCTCTGTGGAAATGTTACTAAGCCCGGTCTTTGAAAGTACAAAATCTCCAATAAAAAAAAAGAGAAGGCGTGCTAGTCCAAAGAAGAAACATACAGAGGAAAAGGATATTCAGCAGGATATTATAGCACAAGTTTTAATTAACCACTTAGAGGATAAAACTGTAGCTGGTGACTTAATATCACTGGCATCGGAGAATCAGATAGAGCAATCTCAAGAGTTGCTCTATCCAGTTGAACTTAGTGTTGATCCTAATTCTGATTTCATTCAGCAAGGGGGTACTCCATCCATATCTTGTCTTCTATATCATCACAAGTTAACACCGTCAAGGGAAATTTTGAATCGGAGCAATTTTCTGTTAACACACCCCAACTTGATGTTAGTTACCTTCAAGTCCAGCAATTAGAAAACAAGAAGGATGGACTGAGTTTTCTGCCATTAGCAGAAACGCTAGTATCAGACCAAAATCTGTGGAATATTGGCACTCAAGATAAAGAAGAGCAACAATTATAACCTATGATGTGGAAAGCTGAATCTTATAATAATTGTGTTTATATGGGAAGTATTGATAATATTGTCCCAGCTCCAGAAACAAATTCACTGTCTGTACCCTCATTCTTTAGCCAACCACCCCATTTAGAATATTTTGTCTTTGGGAGACCTATACAAATTGTGACCTGGAATATAGCTGGCTGGAAAGAAGCGGCTGACAGTGAACTAGTGGGTTTCCTTTCTAAATTTGACGTAATAGCCATCCAGGAAGCTAACTGGAGAGGATGAACCAGTACAACTTCTGGGTTTTCAAGGATGGAATTCCCATGCCCCAAAATCAAAGAACAAAGAGCAAGCCTCTGGCAGCCTGTGTATCCTTATTAAGCAAGAATTGCAATGGCAAGGGGAGAAATTATATAATGAAGATAAATTTTCACATTTCCTAGCCATGAAATTTAGATATAAGGAGCTTGAATTAATATTGGTAAATGTATATATTCTCCCAAACACATCCCCTTACTATAATTCTGATTACTGGTTATGTTTAGAAACAATATTAGATGAAATAACCACATTGTATTCTCAATCTATAATTAGATTGCTTGGTGATTTTAATGCCAAATTAGGACCATCTCTTCATGAGTTTGCTCAAAAGAAAGGATTTCAAAATGAATTTCTTGATAATTACCCGCAGTGGTTCTCAAGGGATAATAAAAGTAATATTGCTGGCTTGTATTTAGTCTCCTTAATCTTTAAATGTAATCTTCAGATCTTGGGAGGTAAGGATAATAATTATATATACCCATATACATACCACTCAGCCCACTCAAGCAGTGTGTTAGATCTCATCTGTGTATCAAGAAACAAAGTTGACCTCTTTTCAGAGGCTATTGTATATCCAAGAGGTGAAAGTGACCACCACCCAGTGAGCGTGAAATTACTGGGTCGTTCAGATTTAAGACCATATTACATGGCTGACAGGTCGGTCACTAATAATTCTGAGGTGAGTCAGAATAAAAGGCAAATATGGGCCAACGTTGATACAAAGGCAATATTGGACAGCCTCAAAGCAGAGAATGCTGTTAATTGGGCTACAACGATCCAGTCACCTACAGCTGACTGGCTGTCAGTTTCCAATGCATTTATTGATTTGTGTAACATGCTGAAGAAACATTTAATAACTAAATCTTCCACTAAAAGTTTTCAAGCAGGTAGATTTCCCTGGTTTGACAATGAATGCCAGTTGATGAAAAAGAAATTGAAGGCAGCCGTGAGACTTGCTTAGAGGTGTTCCACTGCTCATATACAAGCTGAGATGTTCATAAGAAGAGAATATAAAAAACTTATAAAATTAAAGAAAAAAAGTTATGCCACCTCAGTTTAGTCAGAACTCAAGTTGGCTGGACAGAGCCATAATTCAGTTATATTTTGGCATTCTGTAGCAGGAATCCTAAAGGAACAGAGATTTGTATTTGATATACCAATCTCCGCTGACGACTGGGAGAATTATTACCAACATTTGTTTGTTTGCTTTAACGGAATCTGCAGAGAAACAGTCCTTAAGTAGTGATTCATCATCTATTGAAACCTCTCTCCCTTGGCCACCAGTCTCAGAAAAAGAGATACAGTCCATTATAAAAGGCCTAAAGAGTAATAAAGCACCTGGTGAGGATTTTCTACCAGCTGAACTATTCAAAAAATTCCCCGGATGATGGGGCCCTCTATTGGCAGGTCTATTTACACATATATATAA